AATCACATCAAAACCCAAACCCCAACTCGCCAATATCATTACATAGTGTCCAGACAACATCTGAATTGACTTGGGCAAAATAATCTCTAAACACAGGTGATGTGCATTATCAGTGAAAACGGTACATACTGGATTTTTTGGAAGAAAAATCGCATATCAGCTACTGAATGACTATCTTCCGCGAGCGTAGTATCTGTGACTGACGATCCAAGCAATGTGGTTGAGAGGTCTGTGCTCAGACTGGGTGAATGCCAGGGATTTGTCGTTGGTAAATGTTCACAAGGAAAATATGTGAAGCAAACTCGGGGAGTTGTCAGAACGGAGGGAGGGTTCGGGGAAATGCGGTAGCCAATTGAAGTGAAAACTGTAATTTAAAATAAAATAAGATTAGTTTTCACCGCTCGCTGGTGTCTCAGGGAACTGGTGGACGGAACTCATTTCACATCAGATCGGTATCACAGACCTTTAATTTAAAAAGATGTTCCCCTGCGAGTGTCTTAAGATATCTTGTGGCCCGTGCTGTGTGATTCTGTCCTCACGTCAGCTCAGATAGCCTGGCTAACCAGAGGCCTTTTAAATTAAAGATGCCGGCAAAACCCTTTGAAATTAAAGAGGCCGGCAGAGAGATCTCTTGTGAAATGAGCTTCTTGTGTCTCAGAGGCTGACAAATTCCTGGCCATCGTGGGAGAGCAATCCATCTCAAGGAGGTACAAGGACGAAGACGTATCATACCTCTAGTATTAAAGAAGATTGTCTCCTGGTAAAGGTTATCACCCCTCAGCTTGGGAAGGTGTTTCATAATAATACATGCATTATTATGATTATTAGTTGATAAAGCACCTTATCATGTTGTCACGACATCTCAAAACGCTTCACAGAATATACCGTAAAGTGTAGTGACTGTATATTTTGTGGGTGAAACACGGCGGCCGATTGCGCACAGCAGTATCCCCAAAACAGTCGTGGATTGAGTGATCAAATTATTAGTATTTTTTTAAAAAATTGAAGTGATTATTATACCCTGAAAGCTATCCGCCAATCGAGTAACAATCATGTATAACATGATTATAAATGTATAATAATAATCCTTGCATTTGATACAGAGCTTCATCACACCATCAAAATATCCCACCTGAAGTACGGTGATTGTGTATTTTGTAAACCGAATGCGGCAGTGGACTTGAGCACAGCAATGTTTGACACATAGCTGGGAAGTGAATGACCGAATTTTACGTGGGGGATTGTTGGCCAGGATTCCGGGAGAGAGAGAGAGAGAGAGAGAAGCCCTTCTCTATTCGAAAAGTGCCATGGGATTTTTAATGTCCATCTGTACAGGCACAAACCTCAGTTTAAGGTCTCATCCGAAGGACGGTGTCTCCAATGATGTAGCTCTTCCCCAGCACAACACTGGAGTGTCTGCCCCCACTGCGTGTGGCTTGAACCCACAACCTTCGAACTCAAAGCCAGGAACTCTACTGACTGAGCCAGCCTGACATTGGTGATGGTGAGTGATAATGATTCCAGACAGCCTACAATCAGTGAGGCGCACAATGAAAACACAAACACTGGGAATAGAGCATTAACGATCTAGCAATTCCTGCTGTGCCAGACTATGTGAAACTGCTGTCAAAACTCCAGACATTCAGTGAGATTCTTTCACTGAACACTGTACCTTTTCTATCCGATATTGCTGCCCTTAGCAATAGCAGTGATCTATTTACCATTAGCCCTTACCTTCGCTGGTGCTTAAATAGTGTCATCTCACATGCAGGACAACTGGCAGAGGCTGCAATTCACATGGAGCAGCTCTTGAGATGTCATAAATTGGCACTGACCTGAAGGCTCCTTAAATACCAGCAGAACCTTGAGACTGGATTGCTACCTGCCACCATTTATGATACACTGCCCGTTGTGATTTTGTTTCTTTGATGTGTTTGACTGTTGCAAAGTCACCTCTTGTGTTGTGCAACAATATAGAAGTTTGCAGGACTGAAGAAGGCCATTCGGTCCATCGCGTCCGTGCTGCTTCTCGGAAAGAGCGACCCATTCAGTCCCATTTACGTGGCTGTCCTACCCCCTCACACGCCTCCTTAGATATCTACCCAGTTTCCTTTTGAAAGTTAATAGCTGATCCTGCTTTGCCCACTTGTCCCCGGCAAGGCTATCCGCAACCTAATGACTTTCTATGTATAAAAAGAATTGCTTCTTATCTCTCCCTTTGCTCTCTGAGTAACATGAAAAGGTGTAAATCTGAGTTAATTGGTGGTGCTCTGATCTCTGAGTCAGATTTTGGGTTCAAACCCCATGTAGGGACTTCAAGCTCATTGTGTGGGCTGGTTCTTCAATGGAGTGCTGTATTACTGGAGATGCCATTCATCAAATGAGATGTTGAGTCCTGTAGCTCAGTGGTTAGAGCACTCGCTTTGCAAGCGAGAGACCCAAGTTCAATTCCAGGCAGAAGGCGAAACCTTGGGCAAGTTTCCTTACTCCACACAGAGCCTAATAATAATCCCTCCAAAACAAAAAACAATAATAAATTGGTCATTTTCAATCTACGACTGTTTGTGGGACATTGCTGTGCGCAATTGGCTGCCGCGTTCGCCCACAAATATACAGTCAATTCACTTTACAGTGTGTTCTGTGAAGCGCTTTGGGACGTCCTCCCGACGTGAAAAGCGCTATATCAAATGCAAGGATTATTATTATTATTATTATACACTGTGAATCTTGGCTGGCGCTCACACCTACCTGCTGTGGTGAGGTTGACACCAAGTGGAAAGCAGCTGTTGGCTAATGTGGAGGTCAGTTGCTCAGGATATAGCTCTCACATGCAGAAAGATCCTTCAGAACAGCCATCATTCCCAACAACAGTAACAATTGGAGTCCTGTAGCTCGGTGGTTAGAGCACTCACCTCGCATGGAAGAGACCTGGGTTCGACTCCCGACAGGGCAAAATGTTGGGCAAGTTTCCTTACTCCACACGCCTCTGTTTAACTAGCAGTAAGTAAGAAGGTTGTTAGTCGATTGGCGGATCACTTTTCCGAGGATAATGATCCCTCAAAAAAAAACACAGCAATAATTTTAGTCGCTCAATCCACGACTGTTTGTGGGACATTGCTGTGCCCAATTGGCTGCCGCGTTTCGCCCACAAATATACAGTCAATTCACTTTATAGTATATTCTGTGAAGCGCTTTGAGACATCTAGAAGATGTGAGAAGCGCTGCATCAAATGCAAGGACGTCTCAAAGCGCTTCACAGAACATACTGTAAAGTGAATTGACTGTATATTTGAGGGCGAAACGCGGCAGCCAATTGCGCACAGTAGTGTCCCACAAACAGTCGTGGATTGAAATAATCAATATATTATTTATTTTTTTTGAGGGATTATTATTAGGTGTGTGGAGTAAAGAAACTTGCCCAAGGTTTCACCCTGCCTGGAATTGAACCCAGATCTCTCGCTTGTAAGGGGAGCGCTCTAACCACTGAGCTACAGCACTGAGCTTCGAAAGCCTATTCTCCAAAAGAACCAAATTAAATTAAAACCCAATTTTCCACAAAATGTAAGAACTTGCAAAAAATTCGCAGAATTTAAGCAATTGACAGAGCAGAAGGAGGCCATTTAGCCCATCGAGTCTACACAGGCTCCCAGAGCAGACTGTCCATTCAATCCCACTGCCCTGCCCTATCCCCACATTCCTTCAACAACCAACTAGTGACTATCCTTCTTGGGCTTGGGGAGGGAGGTAAGCAATGTCTCCCTGGAGCTGAACCAAGGTGACATGGTTGGCAACGGAATGTCGGAATGGAGCCTGTGGCAGTCTCGGTTATCCGGTTCCTGAGCCAGGCAGGTCTGCAGTGCTCCACAACAGTACACCACATCATAAACACCTCATCCAAAGGAAGGTAGCTCCGACAACGCAGTGCGCTGCAGTGGAGCATCAGCCTAGACTGTGAGCTCAAAGTCTCGAAGTGGGAGCTCAAACGTCCCCCCCAACCTTCTGGCTGAGCCAGGCTAACACATGCTCGCTCGCGTGCATTTTTAAGTGGATCAATCAAATAACATGGTAACCGGTTGCCTCTCACAGAGTGAAGAGCTGCCGCCCTGGGACAGACCTAGTTCAGAGGCAGGTTAAGCACGCCACCTGTTGAGAGTTAGCGTATAACGGCACTGAGAGCTCCTCCGGGAAAGATTCGCCTTGCGCTCGCATTTTAAGACAGATGCCTTAAATTAACTCCAGACGCTTTTCCAAGCTTCAAAACAGGTGGCAGTAAGACGCCAGGATTTGTGACAGTGATTTCTGTAACTCTCCAGCTGGGGCTCCCCCTGTTCATTGGCATTGCAGGGAGTCCATCTTATTTTATCTCTGTGGACAGATGTGAGGCACGATCTGGTCACGATCGAATTAGGTAATGCCGGCCATCTATTCTCCCCGGTGCTTGGCCGGCTAAGCTCAATGTGGAGCTCAGTGTTGTTGACAGCAGTCTCACACAATTACTGTTTGAGTCTCGCGTTTCTCAAGGGCTAATTTGGAACTAGCTAACATGGGTGTTGGGGGTGGGGGGGAAGAGTGGGAGAGGAAGGAGGGTTGGGAGAAAGACTTGGGGTGATGTGGATAGAGAGACGTTTCAATGCCAGTCTGTCTGCCAATCTAAGCCTTGGGTTGCTTGCTCATTGCTCAAATTTACTGCAAACAGCCGAGGTGAAGGGAAGGGAATGATAAGATAATTTCCCTCAAAGCGAACCCGCGCCTTATCATTTCGAAAACGTTTCAAAGCGTTTCGCCAACAATATACAAGTCAATTCATTTTACAGTATATCCTGCAAAATGCTTTGAGACATCTCGACGACATGATAAAGGGGCTGTATCAATTACAAGCATTGTTATTATTATTATTATTGCTGAGATCTCACATGGGACACAGTTTCGCCCAGAATCTTTTCTCCCAGGATTACTATTTTGACGCATGGTTAACAAGAAAGGTGAAGACCAAGAGAGTATTTCCCCACTGCAAATCAGCCTCTTTATTGCGAGTGGTTGCAAAGTGCCGCTAAAGTGCGAGAATCAATGTCTCTTAAAGTACAACTTCTCCATTAGAGTTAAGAGTCCGTTACTTTTTTGTGAGCAGGGCGTTTGAGCCGTCGATATAAAATTTTGAAATAGATTCTAGCAAAATCATCGCACACTGTCATTAAGCGACGGCTCTCAGCCCTTGCTAAAATGATAAGAGTTTCTTGCGTGATGTTGGAGAGTGTAGGGGTGTCACTGACATGGGCTTAAGCTGTGACCTGGGTCGGCTGCTTAAAGTTGAAGCCTCCTCCTGTGATCTGGGGATGGTTTGTCTTCTGTGGTTGGATGGATGTTGTCCCCCTGTCGATCGCCTGCTTTTCCTTCTCCCTGCAAAGGGGAAAACAGAACCGTATTAACCACTTCAATAATCATAATCCTTGCATTCGATAGAGCGCCTTATCACGCCGTTGAGATGTCTCAAAGCGCTATACCGAAATATATTTTCGAATGCTTTGACTGTGTATTTTGTGGGCGAAATGTAGCAATCCACTTCGCTTTTTGAAAGTGCTGCAGGATTCCTAATGCCCGCCTGAACAGGCACAGATAGGACCTCGGCTTAACCTGATCTGGGGGAATGCTCCCGCCATCAATGTGTTGGGAGTTTCAGCTCAGACTCCAAGGCTCAAAGTCCCCACGTGGGGCATCTGCTGACCATCATCTGCTTACCCAGTGGATGAGAGTGCTACCAACTAAGCCAATCACTTGCCTTATGAATATTAATGTAGTGTCATCACCATCCCGCTGTCCCTAAGCTGATTAACCACAAACAGCTATATCCATCACTATAGCCAAGTGAATTGTACTTGCTATGTAACAGTACATGTCTGCTGTACCATAGCTAGTTTGACCTGTGAAGGTCACCTCCAAGGGTGCCCCAGAGATGTGTGTGTACTACGTACGAAGGAGGCTTTATTAGCATTGCGTGATCTACTTTTGCCTTTCCCTCTGTTCCCAATTAAATTCCAAATACCGACCAGCTTTACATTTCACCTCCTTCCAGCCCACAGTGAAATCTGTCAACACACACCGCCTTTGGGACACAGTTCAGGAAGTCTTCACAAATAGATAGTCTGTCAGTACGGATGTCAGTGTGAATTCCAATTCAATTGTTGGGCCTGGCGTTAAGGGCCAGTGCAAAATCCCGTCGCAATTGTCAAACTTGAGTTTATGCACTAACGATGCTCCTTGTTTGGTGCACAACAGTGTTGTGTTACTGCGAAGTAAATTCACCATGTTACTATTTATCCTAAACTGTAGTCCTAACCAGGCTCCACTGGCTCCCCGTCTCTGAATCGATCGACTTCAAGGTCCTCACTCTCACCCACAATTACTTCACTTCCTAGCACCTCCCTATCTCTCTCATACCCTTCTATCCAACTCCTCTGCTTGTCCCCTCCCCTTGAGCTTTCTGTGACGTGCCAACCGCCTCCAAACACTACTCCCCTAACCTTTAAAACTCCCTGCCTCTGCTACTCCACCTCCCTCCCCCTCTGTCTCTGTACCTCCATCCCTCCATCTATCTTTAAATTCCACCTTAAAACATACAAGTTACTGTAAAGTTTAGTGACTGTGCATTTTGTAGCTGAACGCAGCAGCCAATTTGCCTGCAGCAATGTTTTAGAAACAGCCTTGAAGTGAGTGACTGATCTTTATCTGAGGGATTGTTGGCCACAACAGTAAAACAGTGCATCAGACACGTGCGCTCTTCACTGCACAGCCCAGAAAGTGCTTTGCTTCTCTTTTCAAGCAATTGTCATGCACCACTGGACAGCCCAGTAAGGGGGGTGGGGGGGGTGTTGGAAATGGGCAAAGCTTGTTCAGATTGATTGGAGCAGAACTTCAGAAGCTGTGTGAATGGCATACAGGCTTTGTGGAGCTTTATGATTCCTCCTGCCCAGTTAATGAGAGCTTCCCTAAAGAACAAACCATCATTGCACCCAATGCCTGCCTCCCTGCCCGGAGTAATACACTGAGCTCAGTGAGAAATTAAATAAAACGAAGCGCTGCTCGCTTCTCAGGGGCTTGGTTTGGTTCCCTGCTGCTGGCCTGGCTCTTTATTTCAGGTGTTTTCATTATCTCCGTCCATTCCTGAGACCAGGAAAGTCGCACTTACAACACTGCTTGTCTATGTAATGGCAAGGCTGCAGGTAGCTGAAGATCAAATGGATCTCTTCATCTGAGCCTCGCTGCTGTCGTCAGCTCTCTAGCGAGCCTGCAACAGCACTAAACACATCGCTCGCTGATCCAGAGTTTCCCGTCTGCGTCTGGAGCTTTGGCTGCACGCAAGCTGGTTGCTGCTTTCGCCTACATAACACACTTTCCAGTAAATCTTGTGAAATCCTTGGAGATGCTTCGCTGACATGACAAACGGCTGCATCAAATGCAAGAATTCTTATTACATTATAAGTGTCTTTTCATCAAGTAAGTTTTTTTTTGCTCAGCCGTGTGTCCGACACATGCAGAAACCCATCACCATGCTCGAGAGTATCCAAACCAAGCTGAGATTTCCATACATCCCACCTTACCAAGGAAATCCCAGAGATATTTGTTGGGATGGAATGCGCACTCTCTCACTGGAAGTATTAGCTGCAGGTTGGCAAGAGCCAAGGCTTGGGCACCCAGAATGTGCGTTGGGGGAACTGCTGGAGACTAACCAGCTAAAACCACATAGCTTACAAAGTTTGTTGGGATATCAGTTGATGAAATGGCACAGCCCTGTCAAAAAATCCTCTGCAAGCTTTAACTACTCACGCATATCCCCCTTTAACTAACATACCACAAACTAGTCCTGCGCCTGGTAGAGCAAGGGCATGGGATATGCAGCAAAGATGACCTGAAGTAGCTGTTAGAAGCCTTCTGCTCGGTCTCTCAAACTGAAATGCTTTCAAGCGATCAAGGAACAGTGTGAACTTTCATTTCTCCATCTCCGATGATCAGAAGGCAGTGGACACGCATCATGTCACAAGATCACGCACAATAGAGTGTCGGTTGAAGCAGACATTGATCTCATATTTCCAGAACAATCTTCAGTGACTCACACGCACCTCCACCCACCCACTCCCTCTCCCCTTCCTCATCTGAATCCCGGGGGCTCGCAGGAAGCATTTGATCAATGTTACTCCTCATCTTTGAAAAAATACAGTCTCACGACCACCAGTGTTTTGCAAGCAGAGTATTAACAACCCTCTTTAAAGAACTTCAGTGAAGGAGAAACATGCTGTGAAGCTCACCTGGGGTTCCAGAAGTCTTAAAAACTTCAAAAATATATTTTTTAAATTAAGTAAATTTTTTAAATTAAGTAAATTTAAAAAAAACACACACGCATTAACACAATTCAGCAAAGTCTAATCGATGTCTGGCTGGCTGGCTGTCAGTACCGGCAAGTGAAAGAGGTGATGTTTTGATTTATAACGAACATCTACTTTCTAATTAATTTACCGTGCAAGACTCAATTATCATAATTAACATGTTATTCCTAATAGCGCACGGTGTTGCTGGGCGAGAACTTGCAGTTACACTGCATGCAGTTATCTGCTCTGGAAGCTGTTTAATTTACATATTACTCTGTCATTTACATAAATCATTAATATTATCCATAATGGCATCCTATCAGATTTGCTAAAAATAGCAGGGTGCAAGTTTTTTGGGGGGATTTATATTTTCTAATTAATGTAATCTGCATTCATCAATTAGTTCTAATTAGAGGCGTTCATTAAAGGATTAGCAATAATCAGATTGGAAAAACTGAGGTGGGACAGGCTGGCATCAACTGGGAAGTGAAGGATTGTCATGTTTTTTATTATTATTACTAATAATAAACTCCAATTCGATGTAATGCTGCAATAAAGTGTTAAAACGGGGGAGTGACTATGTATTTTCATAGAATCGTACAGCACACAAGGAGGCCCATCGTGCCTGTGCTGGTTCTTGAAAGAGCTACCAACTAGTCCCACTCCCCCGCTCTTACCCCAAAACCCTACATATTTTTCCTTTTCAAGTACCTATCCAATTCCCTTTTAAAAGCCACTATTGCGTCTGCTTCCACCACCGTTTCAGGCAGTGCGTTCCAGATCGTAACAACTCTGTGGGTATTCTGTCGGTAAACATTTCACAGGTACCACCTCAGCACACCACCTGCCTGTTCCCTCTGTGTTGTGTTTGGCAGATGTCTGATACCTGGCTGTGAACAACAGGATGGCTGATCGGGGACCTTTGCCATGCACAAATCAAACAAATGGTGTATGTTGGGCATTGGCTGCTGATGCTTCCTCTCTCCCCTTCCCTTGAATCTCCTCACGCAAAGAGTTCACTTTAGGAGTTATTTTATGACAATAATAATCCTTTGCAATTGACAGAGCAAGCTGCTGATCGCGTCATTGAGATGTTTCAAAGCACTTCACAAAATATATTGTAAAGTGGATTGACTATGTATTTTGTGGACAAAACACGGCAGCCAATTGTGCACAGCAGTGTCACACAAACAGGCATGGAGTGGGATTTTTTTAATGGAGGGATTATTACGCCCGGAAAGTGATCCACTAATCAATTAACAATCGGGTTCCAACTTACTGCTAGGTAAACAGAGGAATGTGGAGTAAGGAAACTTGCCCAAGGTTTTGCTCTGCCTAGGAATCAAACCCAGGTCCGCTCGCTCACGAGGCAAGCAGGCTAACCACTACCCTAAGGGACTCCACGTCTCCTTCTTCATCCACCCACCCATTTCAATTGGCATCTGTTTTTCTGGGCACTTTCTTACGCAAAGTGATGTTCATTCATGAGCGAACCTGGACAGTGTTAGCTGTAACTTTAATGTGATGGATAAGAGGAAGAGCATGGAGAAGATGAAGGTCATCAGAGCCCAGTGATAATGATGCCTCTCTGTCCCAGAGCCCCTTCGACTCACTCCTTGCACGCTCCCCACTGCATGCCTTCCTATCTCTCCCTTCAACTGTACTTTCAGACATCTTCCCACCTCCCCTCAATCCCTCCTCAGCTTCTTTTGACATTGTGCCCATTACCACTGGTGATAATCAACACAGCGCACCATGTGGTCTTCACCCCGGAGGTTTAATCACCCGTCTTTCTGTGGGGCCTCATAGGAACTTATATGCGCAAATATTGGCTGCTACGTTCACCTACAAAACACACAGTCACTCCATTATACCGTGTATCCTGTGAATCGCTTTGAGACATCCTCCCATTGCAAAAGGTGCTGTATCAAATTCAAAAATTATTATTATTACTTCCATTTACCACCTCCCCACAATGTCCATTTTGTCACTTTTACACTATCTAAGAGGCTCTATACCAAATGCAAGGATTGAATA